CCACAAAGCTTGGCTTTATTTTTGCATAGCAGGCTACTTTGCCATTACAGAACATACTGTATTGGTAAAGAGTAGATGCCTACCCAGTCCTAAAACAATTGATTTCTCAATTCATGAACAACTTATTTTTCTCTAATAATGAAATGTATTTGATATCTTTAGAGAGGACATAATTTTACAAATTTATGAAGTTTAGATATTTGTTTAAATATCAGCATTATTTCAAATGGTGAAATTGCTGTAAGTGAGTAATGTCCATATTATGAACGAAGTATGGCGTGGCCTAAAGTGAAAGTTAGAGTTAGCCATTAAAGATTATGGTCAGCAAAGACTGACGTTGCTTTTTCCATATAGAAGTGCATCTTGTTCTTAGAAAGCAGTACACTCAGTACACTCAAGAGTCTCTGAAAGGAGCCAATTCCATTTTGGAAGAAATTGTGAAATACCTCTTCAATTTGAAGAATAAAAAAAGCAAATAATGCTATTTCTCAGAAAACACATTCTGAGTGTTGCTGCAGAAAAACTGTAACCTACTGATTAATGAAAAGCCCAACACTGTACATAACAACTGATAGCAGTAAAGTGTAATAAAGGAGTAAGCAAAGAAAAAATGAAAAGAACAACACAAGCTCCACCAACTTTCCCCCCAAAACCAGTGACAGCACCATGATTATTTTTAGTGCCAGCAAATATGTATGTGAAATTAAAGACTTCTTGAAATTAAATTAATTAGACAAAATACAAAAAGCAACTTGCACAGATAGACAAACTCAAATACACTGAGGCTTGTGCAATAAACCTGTATAAACATGGTAAGCATGTTCTTCCCAAACCACATCCATTTCTGAGAACTCATCAGCTAAAAGCAGGACACGCGGGGCCACCACATCAAGTTAACCCCTTCCCAACAATAAACCCCACTTTCTGCAATCATTTAGATTCTGTTGTTCCTGCAGCTCAAGCACTCAGCATATTCCAAATTCCTTTGTGTTCACTGCAACTGAAACCCTACAGTGATGATCCAGGTTTAAGATTTAGAGGTTAAGAGGGTAAGGCACTGAATGTCAATGGAAGGCTCCATCATTCTATTTTTGGTTACTTATAAACTCGTTATTGTAAACTATCCAGGTCAGGAGTCCTAACAATCTCTGTGGGTGGCTATTTTCGCAGGGCTTATTGCCAGACAAAATATGGGTGTAATTTAACATTGCTTTTTCATTATTAATGTATGCCTCTGCTTTTCCAATATTTACTCGTGCTTGCTATGACCAAATGCAACAAGGGACATAACTGGGTGCAAGGAACAAACCAGGAGGTGTTTTTAGATAGAATGAAGGCTATATTTAAGAAGAGATGCGTACATTTCTTTTTTTTTTTTTTCAGCACATGGTCATGAAACACAAAAAGAGGACCCAGATGTTTTAGCAAACCTACCTCAGGAGAAAAAAAGTAACTTACAAATGCACTTTAATAAGCAGTTAATAATCAGCTGTCACATCAAAACATGAAACATGCTCAATAGCAACTACCACAAAACCCCTTCAGTTTAATGTTGTTGTGGTACTTCTACTACATAGTTAGACACTGCATATTGTTCCTGCATATAGTTGAGCTGTCACTCATTTGGAATCCAATTCTGCCCTTGGATTTAAAACAATACATCAGAGTCAATCAGGTTAATTCTACCTTGCTTTATTTTAAATACAAGACAATATTTGCACCTTAGTAACAACATAACCAAGAACATTTCCTGAGGCTGCAACACTTAGTAATGTTATTTTATCATGAAGATGTTATGGGCCGAGATCACTCTTCATTTACTTATCTTCCATGTTCTTAAAAAGAGCACAAAACACCATTTTCTCTTGGAATCCAATCTTAATGTCCAAAGCACCTGTTTTTTGGTGCTCTTTTAATTGTTTCCTAAAAACAGGTATCTTATGTATATGTCTGATACTTGAAGAAGCAAAGGTGGAAGGTTTTTTCACTTTGCAAAACATATTGGGGAAAAAAAAATAGTTCACTTCAAATATTTCATTTTCAAGAGAGGAGTTTTTTTTCAGACAACAGGAGTATTTTGTAGGGGAGCAGATTATTAAAGATCTATATTATATCTATTACAGATCGATAAAGATCTAACTATATGCGAGTGAGCTCAAAATCATGTGTATCACAACAAACAAGTAAAATGACACTGCATGGCCTTTCCTACAATTTGACCACTTGATATTCACGTATTTCATTTGCAGTAACTCCAAATTTATCCCAACTATTTCACTTTTTCCCCATCATTTCTGTCCACATATCTGCATTACATTTTTTTTTTTTAAATTTCCCTGCTGTTACCAATTACTTCATCCAATCTCTTGTTTTATTTTCTTCTCTTTTTAAATATAAAATCTACACTTGAAAGATATACTCACTGATGTTCTGTATCACTTAATGAGCAATTCTCCTCACAATGACATATTTTGGTATCCTCTTATCTTTTCTAGAAAACATAATTTTTCTCTTCTAGATCTTGCCTGTATGTAAAAGACATGGAACACAAAACTTCCTTTTCATTGCTCCACATATTTTGCAACCCTCTCAGATGATCATTTTTCAGAATTAGGCCATAAAGACACAAGTCATTTGTAAAACTGTATTCTACTATTTTTATTCCCCTAACTCCCCCATCTTCTCAGCTTTTAGAAGGGAAAAAAAAAAAAAAGAAAAACTGCAAGAGTGACTAAATTGCTCCAAGTAACTCTCAAAGATACTGATGGGATGAAACACACTGAATTTAATTAGTGTATTTGCAGCACAATGTCACATAAGCTTTGTGATCTATGGCACAAACTTAATATGCGTGTTGATGCAGACAAATCCTACTCCTTTGAAAAGGAAGAAACATCTCAAAAAAGGACATGTAATAAACTTTTACATATTCCTTCCCCAGTTCAGATGCAAAATATCTAAAGGAGAAGTAACATCAAAACACTTAAGGAACTCAAAATACTTAAACAACTCATTACTTGAAATGCACATCCTAAGACTACATACCAAGCTTTAAATTCTGACAGCAACAGGTCTAGACATTATTCATACCAAGATTTAAAATCTTGACTCTGTATCCAGACACCAAAATCTTGCACTTGAGCACTTCAGCAACAACATAATGCTTGAATTTCTGGCCACTCTGATTTGGAAGTCAGCCCAATTTCCATACTGAAAGTCTGTACTTGCTCGACTCATCCTTCCGTGATGCGTTTCATTTGTTATATAGCTGATTAATTGAAATATATGCAATTAAAACATCTAGAATTTAAACTGATTTAGTAATTTTGAAGTAGAAAAAAAAAGCTAAATGAATTTTAAAAATAGTTAATATGGCACATAAAACCTATCTTTATTACTAGTTCACAGATTAAAACTATAGATTTATTTTTTTTAAGTAAACAGAACAGAAGCATATTTTTTAGAAAGTACCTTTAGTTTTTTTACTGGAGCTTCTTTTGCTTCTTGGACTTCTTTTTCCACCTGGCTGTTTTTCTGTGATAGGCTTTTCCTCCAGCTGAGGGTCCATATGGACGTTCACAGATCTCCTCTCAGTCTCACTTTCCTTACAATCTCCACCGTCAATATTCTCATTATTATTGATGCTGTCCTGCTCACCTTCATTCTGTCTTCCCATAGCAATTCTACTACTGGTCAAAACTTCATTCCCATCATTATCAAGTTGATTTTCATTTTCGTCAGCTGTAGAAACCAAATGAGAGGTCAAACATTCGACCCTATAGTCAGCAGGAAGACTGTCCTTTGAGTCTATTTGTAGATCATTTGGTGGAAATTCTCTGTCATCCATCAGAGCGTTACTTGTTGAACCACTTAATCCCCTTCCAGATATTTTTAGACCTAAAATACAAAAGCAGAAGAAGCATTTATAAATGGTACTATAATTAAGCTCATGCTTAATTCCAGTCAATAAGGAATCACATTAGCAAAGTGATATAGTTTAAAGGCATGGGGAAATTCTTTCAAACAGCAACCCATTGCCCTGCTGGAAGTTTTATAAAGCAAAACTAAATACATACAATAATGACCTATAAATTTCTATTTTCATGCAATTATTATTGGTTCAAGTTACGTGACTAATAGCATAGCTGATCTTCACAGCAGTGCACAGTGTTATAACTGAAGTAACACGAAAAACCAAAAGATAACAAAAGGCACCACCTCCACTTACATCCGTGGCCAAAATACAAACATTATTATCACGTAAGATCACAGTTTGTCTGAAATAAAAATAAGCCAGGAAGAAACAAAAGCCAAACAACTTTCATTTCTGTCACTCATGGCACCACACCAAACATGTAGATAGGTTAATTCTTTTACAAGATCTAGATGCAAATAGAACCTGTTTATTAACTCAGATTGTCAGTTTATTTTCAAGAGAACATTCAACATGTCTTCAGTATACACACAGGCAGATGGTTTGCTAATAAAAAAATAAATCCACCACCTACTCTCAACAGGGGTCAATTTTCCCTTTTAGTGAACACGCAGCTCTAATCAATGCTGCAATTAAGCACACAGTTACAAGAAAAAAAGCATAACCCTTCATGTGGTACTCACAGAGGACTTTATTCTGAGGAAACCAAATAATCCTATATGCTAGGATCCTATCCTATAAATATATTTATGTCCTATAAATATGCTTCCTTTTAGAAGCATAGAAATACTGTTGGTTTAACTTAGCAACTTGATGAAATGCAGCTCTGTTAGGTACCTCTCATTAGATTTATCTCAAGCATTTTAAACATTAAAGCAAAAAAATGGATAGCAGTCTTGTTATATGGAAGAGCTTTGACAAGGTTCATAAGGTAGCTTCCTATCCTTTCCTTCAAAGGAAAAAGCATTTTAGGAAAACTGTTTCACTGAATTCTTAGGTATTGTGATCTGGAATATACAACTGAAATAACTAAAATGCACATTTACTAAATATGCAACATATTGTTTCATTTTATTTGCTAGAAGAATTCAAATTGCATTATAAAAATGAAAAAATGCCTGGGAGAATATATAAGCATTCCTCTTTAACCTTTGTAGTAGCTTATAGGACTTGAAAAAAGAAAACATCATTCTCATCTTAGGGAAGGCAAGGAGAAGGATCCAGCTATGGGCTGCTCAACCTCACCTCGATCCTCATAAGATGATGTAGAAGGTAATCCCAGAAGTCGTTTTCAAATATGTATAGGACAAGAAGGTCATAAAGAGTACTCAGCATGGGCTTAAGATGGATAAATGGCACTTAATCAACTTAATAGTCTTTTGTAATGATGTGACCAGTTCAGTAGATAAGAACAGTGGATACCATTTGTCTTGACTCTAGAAAGGCTTCTGACACTTTCTCCCAAAACATCCCTATAGACAAAAATACAAAAAACCAGGCTACATAGACAGTGAGGTGAACTGAAAACTGGCTGAATGTCTGAGCACAGAGCACTGTGCTAAGGTGACTGAAGGTTGCAGACCAGTGACCAGTATACATCCAGGAGCTAAGAGCCAAGCCAATACTGTTTATCCCTTCATTAATGACCAAGGTGATAAGAAAGTCAATCTACACTAAGTTTGATGATGATACAGGGGGAGGTTGTGCTGCTGTTCACAAGGACCTTGACAGGCTGAAAACAAATGGGATGATGGGAACTTAATGAAGTCTTACAAAGGAAAATGCAAAGTCCTGCACGTGGGAGGAAATAACCTCATGCACTAGTACAGACTGGGGGTCACCCAGATGGAAAGTAACCTGCAAAAATGGCCTCGAGGTCCCTGCAGGCAGCAGTTGATCACCAGCTAGCAAGAAACCTTTATGGAAAAGATGCCAGCAGCATCTTGAGCTGCATTATGATAAGCAAGTCAAGGGAGGTGATCCTTCCTCTCTACTCAGCACTGGTGAGATACATCTTGCTGGGTCCAGTCCTAGGCTGTCCCTTAGCAGAAAAATATGGACATACTGAAGCAGCTCCAGGACAGGGCCAAAGAGAGGATTAAGAGTCTGGAGCATCTGTCAGAGGAGGTGAGGCTGAGAGAGCTGTAATTGTTCAGCCTGCATAGGCTCAGAGAATTTATCAACATATATAAATATAAAATGAGGAAGTAAAGGAGATGCGTCAGACTCTTCTCAGAGTCTCTTTCTCAGAGAAAGGAGTAGAGGCAATTAACACAAGCTAAATATAAGAAATGCTAAACATAAAAATTAGTTTCAGTAGTAAGGTTGATTGAACATTGGAAAGGTGTTACCCAGAACAGGTTGTGAAGTAGCCATCCTTGGAGATTTTCAAAATGCAACTGGACAGTCCTGACCAATCCACTCCTCTTTCTTCACTACATCAAGTATTCTGCCCCTCTGTGACTGCCCTCTACACTTGTCCTGACACAACTTGTTAGTATTCCTGAGTTTATTTCTAAAACACTTCCTTCTTAACACAACATACATTTTGTTGAGATAACAGCTGCCAGGAAGTGTGCTAAAATAACTTTTAGTAGTCAACCACTTATTAGCAGAAGTTTACTTCTCCTCCACTCAGGTATTCTTGGGTCACTTCATCAAATACCGTTCTACTGGTTCTACAGGAGTGGCAAGACATGGGCAGCTACTCCTGCCCTTAGATAATACTTCAACCAGCATATGCTCTGTGAAGGTTAGGAATTGGAATGACTGCGTGCCAGGTGCCCATGGTATTTTCAGAAAGAATGCTCTATGAGTTCCTTGTAAGCACACAGAGGTGGATGAGCCACCAGCAGCTGGGCAATGCAAAAGCAAAGTCAGTACAACTCATTTTCTGCTTCCAACCTGAAGAGCTTGTTAGCCACTTCCAGCCATACCTGTCCAACAAAAAAGTACTGCCTTCCTATAACACATGTGCATCTTAAAAAAAAAAAAGCAACAAAACTCAGTCTAGAAGATTAATGAATTGTACACTGAAGTGGGAAAGATGCAAGTTGTAATTTCCTTTGTCAAACTAACAAGAGAAACGGCTATCTTTAAGTACCAGAAAGACAAGGAAGGGATCTCAAGAGGAGATGCTCATCTGAAGAATGTATCTGTCCATGAGAGGGATGATCCTTATTCAAGCCCCTTTCTCTTCAAGAGTTAAACATGAAAAGAAGAGCTAAAAGGAGAACAGAACTTAACTATTCCTGTAAGAATCAGAACCAGAATATGTTTGTTATAGACACCCACACAGAAGTAACATTTATTGATGGTAATTGTTGTAAATCATTTGGGGGAAAAAAAAAAAAAAAAAAAAGCCCAAATACCACGTTAAACTTGAGAGGTCTAATTCTTACTCTTCCTAGCACATGAAACAGTAATTATTGCTGCCCCACTCAGCTCATGGATTGAATGGTACATCAAATAAAAGAAGTTAGAGTGCACTGCCCAAAGCCAATGAGGAATTAATTTTATCAGCAATAATTAAAAACCAGGATGTCCTGTGATGTTCTACCACTGTTTTTGCATCTATCAGTAGACAACTGCTCTTCCTTTCAACAGCTATCACTGGGAAAACTGAAACATTTAAACAAGGTGTTTCCTATTAGATTGCAAAATGAGGAAAAGATGCTTTTGATAAATGACATTTTATACAACGGAGGTTAACATTTTGATGGAAAATATTAAGTCATTTCCTTTTAACATGTGGCTAAAATGACAGTCCTCTAGCTGAGACACTGGACAGCCTTTGTAGCCAATGCGGGACAACTTTTTTTGGTTGATAGTCTGAAACACAATACTATTGCAAATAAAATCAGCCTTTAAAATCTACTTACTACAACTCAGAGAGAATCCAAAAAGAGCTACATCAAAGAATTTAGGTTAGTCCTGCTCTTGAACTTTTGAAGGAATTCCACTAAGTAAATCAACTTCCATTTTAGAAAGGCCATACTCTTCAGTGTTCACTCTCATGTAGTTCCTAAATTCCAACAATTTTTTTAGTTGCTCATTTCTGTGTATGTGTACCGTGACTTCCTTCCGTCAATCCTTACTAGGGGAACATTACCTTCAATACAGTTATCTGGATGAAAAAAATGAAAGATCAGAGGTAAGAGTTCTAGAGGAAAAGGGACAGCACAACATGTGTTAACAGTTATCAGCCTAGAAAGGTTGCCATAAGAACAAGCAAGCAGGCTGTCTAGAGATATGGATTTGCCATCTTCTTAAAGAAGAGATTAAGCAAGACTTCATTGTGAGGACAGGAAAAAATGAGATAGCACCTAGGATTAAGGGAATTTAATTTTCTTTATTGTTGCAAGGCTTTTGTCTCTTGCTTTCATGTACATTTATTATTATTTTTAACACAAACAGCTTAGCAAGTCCTAGAGGAAAATGAAAATCATTTGATTCTGCTAAAAAATGGTATTTTTACAGAGTTAAGGCTTTTAGCTCTTGAAAAAAATAAAAATAAATTAAAAAAAGGAAAACAGCAGAAAATGTATAGTTTCAAGAATCACAAAATGTAACCTATTTATCTCTTAAAAGAAAAATAAAAGTGATGATCTTTGTGAGAGCCAGCATGGAGATGCGTTGTAAGACAACACTGAAATGTTACTATCTCATTTCATGTTGACAACAGTCTTTCACAAATTAATCTAAACCAACGTGAAAACCAGAATGGCAGCATAAAATGAAATGCGTACTACAGATTATTACTATTGCAAATTAATTTCTGTATGCATGTGTAACAGAAATGCTAAGTCAAGGCTTGAATCAGTGATTGAGCACCTGATGGGAAGGCAGGGCCAACCCAGGGGAACTCAGGTGCATGCAATGCCCCTGAGGACTGGAAGGGGTGGAGACAGGATCCAGCCCTTCTCAGAGATAATTTAAGGGTTGGCAGTAAAGGTGAGGGCACCTCTTGTTGGGGATCTCTGCCTAACTGGGGCCTTCAAAAGGTAAGTAGGTTTTTTTTTTGTTTTGTTTTGTTTTGTTTTTTTTCCTTTATTTCTACATCTATGGCTGCTGCATTTGGGCATGTTCACATTTGCTGCAGCCAAAGCCTTTGCCACCCTGCCATTATTGCAGTACTTTCTGTCCCATTACAGCATATAAGATGATTGATTTTTATTTAATGAACAATTATATTTATTTCTAAAATGAAGATGTAATGAGTGAGAGGAAACAGTGCACTAGCTAGCTCTTTTGTGAAAGTGCCATTTCTCTGCAATTGCTTGCTCTGCATTGTGCTTTATGTACAGTATTTAATGGTTGGAATGCTTCTGTTTCCTAAAGAAAGGAAAAGAAAACATATAAATACTTCAATTTTACAACCTGACACCCCTACAGTAAAATACTGCCATGCTGTGAGCTCATTAGTGGTTTACCATTTCACAAGATAGTCTTAGGTACAATCCCATTACTGAATAGCCTCTGTCTGAGAGTATCTCATTAACTTCCTTCAGTTGGCCCTATGTCCTGATTTGAAATAAGCTACTAGACATGAAAATATCTTCCTATATGATTTTTGCTTCTGTTTCATGATTTATGAGGTCTCACTCCCTTGAAATATGCTAATTCCACTATTCTCCAAGTTGAACATAGAAGCAGGAGCAGCTTATCTGATATCTGAGTTTACAAAATGTCTGAGTGTGAGCAGCTTGGTGGTTTGGTACTTCCTGACATTGAAGTGATACTTCAGGCTAATGATCCTCATGTCTGTGCCTGAGAAGATTATAGAGCAGATCCTCCTGGAAACTAGGCTAAGGTATATGCGAAGTGAGAAGAGGATCTAAGACAGCCAGCACAGCTACATCAAGGGAAGATCATATCTGACCAACCTGGTGGCCTTCTGTGATGGAGTGACAGCACTGGTGGACAAGGGAAGAGCAACTATGTCTACCTGGACTTCTGCAGAACCTCTGACATAGTCCCACACCACATCCTCATCTCTAATCATCTCTAAATTAGAAATATATAATGTAGGGAAGGGGGGAAGTTATTCAGCACTGTTTGGATGGTCACAGCTAAAGGGTTGTGATCAGTGGATCTACATCCAGGTAGAAGTCAGTGACAAGTGGTGCTCCTCAGGAATCTGTCTTGGATATGGTGCTCTGTAACATCTTTACAGTGACACATTCAGTGGGACTGAGTGCATCACGGGCAAGCTTGCTGATAACACCAAGCTGAGTGATGCAGTTGATACAATAGAATGAAGGGATGTCATCTGGAGAGACCTGGACAGGCTTGAAAAGTGGGCAAACATGAAACTAATGAGACTTAACAAGGCCAAGTGCAAGATACTGTTCCAGGGTTGAGGCAATCCTGGATATCTCTGCAGACTGAGAAGAATTCATTGAGAGCAACACTGAAGAAGTTGGGAGTCCCGGTGGATGAAAATCAGGACATGAGCCAGCAATGTACTCTTGCAGCCTGGAAGTCCAATAGTATCATGGGCTGCATCAAAAGATGGCCAGCAGAGAGAGAGATGATTGTCTTTCTCTACTCCGTCCTTTTGAGACCCTAACTGGAGTACTGCATCCAGGCCTGGAGCTGGAAGAAAAGGCTTGAGGGAGACCTCATTGTGGCCTCCTAGTACTTGAAGGGAGCTCATAAACAAGAGGAAGGCGGACTTCTTACACTATCTGATGGTAATGAGACAAGGGGAAGCTTTTCCAAAGTGAAATCAGCTTAGATATTAGGTAGAACAGAATGCCAATAAGAAGTTACCTGGAAGCATTCAATGCCAGGCTGAATGTGGCCTTGGGCAGCTTGATCTGGTGGGTGGCAGCCCTGCCCATGGCAAGGAGGTTGGAACTAGATGATTCTTCAGTTTCTTCCAACCTAAGCCACTCTATGATCTTCCCAGTTTAAAAGAGCTGGGATAATGTGGTTTTCAGAGGAAGTTCTACATGCTATTTTGAACTTCTAAGCTTCCCAGTCATACTGCTTATTCACAGCTTTGGTAAACAATGATAAACATACACTGCTAGGCATAATCTACTCTTCCAAATGTACTATTACTATAAGAGTATGTCTCAGTCACCAGCCAAATACAAGAGGTTTGTCTGGGAATGAATAATATGTGGTTAGAACATGCGAGATTTTTCATCCAGACTCTTTCATACAAACAGGCTTTTTCAGCACTTGAGATACAAAATCATCCCCTTCAGTGTGTGAAAAGTTCTGGATTTCAAGTTTTACTAAGCTTTATTTATGCATGAGAATAAGGTGGCACCTCACCATTAGCTAGTATGGTGACTAGGGACCTGACGCATCTCCCTTATGGAAAAAAAGGCTGAGAGACCTAGAGCTGTTCAGCCTGGAGAAGACTGAGAAGGAGTCTTATTAGTACTTGCAAATATCTAAAGGGCATAACATACTGTAAGGAATCTGCTTTAGCAGGTGTGTTGGACTAGATGATATCCAGAGGTCCCTTCCAACCCCTATGATTCTGTGATTTGATGTATTAGTTTTATCTTGTCTGCAGCAAAACACCCAGACTTATTAAGGGTATCAAGATGGTGGAACAGAGTAGGAAGATACAGCAATTTTAAAAGTTTTCTCATTGCTGCAGCGATTTTAGAAGTCTACACAAACATGTGCAGTTGTTACTGCCTTTGGAAAAATTAAACTCCTTTCAAGTGTTAAAAGCAAAAGTAAAGCACACGATCCTATGATTCTAAAACCATTAGGAAAGAACTTCTAAAACATACGCTTTCAATTTCAATGACATTCCTCAAATAAACCTAAAAGTCTTTCTAACAGGTGCTGTAATTGCACATATATACCATTTTTAATGCCAAAAGTATTGTGAACCAATCTTAATTTTCCCTGCAGTGTAATATTTTTCATGAGAAAATCTGCCTCACAGGTAGTGAAAAGTGCTACAGCTCATATTATGAGCTTATGTGGTAGTCATTCTGTTTGGAGAGAAGAAGCAATGTATTGAAACTACAGCAGAAAAAAAAAAATATTCCTAAGAA